AGTAAGGGCAGCCACACAACCTGGCACATCAGCAGAAGGAAATGAGTAACTTTGATCCTCCACTCCCTAAAATGGTATAACTATCTTTTCTGTCCCCTTTCTCTTCTCCGCATGATGTGGGGAAAATGGGTCATGCCACTAATTCTGTACTCAAAGAAATCTGGGCCTTGAAACTTTCTTAGAAGCATCTTGCATAATGCTGAGCACCATATACTAGATATTCAGGATTTTCCAGATGATTCAAAGAATTTTCTTAATTCGTTCTCATGAGGCAATGAGGGTGCACATGGCTGTAATTTACACTTTAGTACTTCAAATACTTATGAATATCTGCAGGTGGATTTAATATCTAAATATGTAATCTTTAAAATTTTAGAATAAAATGGGAGAATATTTTTATGATCTTGGGGCAAGGATGAACTTTTATTTTCCTTTCTTTTTTTCCCCCAGCTTTATTGAGCTATAATTGACATATAACATTGTGTAAGTTTAATGTGTACAATGTATTGATTTGATACACATGTATATTGCAAAATGATTACCACCATAGCATTAGCTAACACCTCCAGCAAGGAAGAACTTCTTAAAGAACATGTGAAAAGCACAAACTCTAATAGAAATGATTGATATGTCTGAGCACAATAAAATTAAAATTTATATTATAAAAACTGTAATAAAAGTAATAATACTGTCTAAGACTGGAAGAAGTAATTTGCAACCTGAATAACTAACAAAAGATCAGAATCCAAAAGATCTAAAGAGCTTAGACAAGCAATTTAGGTAAAAACAACTCAATAGAAAAATGTGCAAAAGATTTGAATAAATAAGTCAGAGAAAAGGAAATATGAATGATTAATAATAATGGTCAATAAATGATAAAAAGAAACTTGGCCTCCTCTGTCATTATGGAAGTGAAAATTAAATTTCTTCATATCCATCAGATTGATAGAAAAATAAGTGAATAAATATTATTTAAATTATGAAATATAATATACCTATAGAAAAGTACATAAAAAGTAAACATACAACTTAAATATTATTGTAAAGTAACCTGTATAGCCATCACTGAGCTCCAGAAGCCCCCCCGATACCTCTTCCAGATCACAATACCTCTCCTCTCAACTGGGAGTAACTACTACCTTAACTTTTGGCAGTTATCTGCTGAGTTTCTAGGGGGGAAGAAAAGCCCTCCCTTATGTAGCATTTGCTGTTTTCCACAGAATAAGTACTCCCATCATGGCAGATTTCAAGTTACCAACATGTAAGTTGACTCACCAAATTCCTGAAAATTTAACAGTTGGCTCTTGTGAGTATGTACAGACCCACTCCAGCACTCAAGTGCCCCCTCCTTTATTACTCTTTGCTTTTTCTCCTTCTTTTTCTTCCTTTTTTAAAAAATAGTTTTACTACCTAAATAAGCATCCTTAAGTAAATAGTTTGTATTAGTTGCTTCTGACAATATCAATATTATGTTACTTAATGAAATTGTTTTTGAAGTCTTTCTTCCTTTCCTATATTCTGGAAGAGATTAAAAAGCGTTGAGATTATCTTCTTTTCAAAGGTTTAGTGAATTCTTCTGAGAAACCATCTGGATTTACTGAATTTTGACAGCTTCTCTCTTTCTCTATAACAACCTTTATTTCTTCAGTGGAAATCAGACACTTTAGATTTTTTCAAAATCTCCTCTCTGGTCAGCGTTGCTAAATTATATTTTCCTAGAAAGTTATTTCATCCAGGTTCTCATATTTATTTACATGTATTTGAGGAAAGTAGTTTTATGATACTTTTAATCTTCTATTTTCCAAGATTATTTCACTCTTACCTTTTTAACTTTTGAATATTTGTTTTCTCTTATTTTTTCTTGATAGCAATATAAGTATATTTTTTACATCAGTTTTGCCTTCTTTTTTGGAGCTAGTTTTAGATTTATTAATTTCCAGAGTTTCATTATTTTCTAACTCATTAATCTCTTCTTATAATTTTATTAGTTTCTTTCTACTTCTTTCTAAAATCTTGAGTCAGATAATTATTGTGTTTGTTATTTCTTGCTATTAACTATTAGCTGTAGTTAAAGCTGTTTGTTTTTCTCTGTGATCACTACTTTAGCTGTGCTCATAAGAATGAAACATATATAGCAAAAGGAGGACTAAATTGTGATTCAGTGTTACTAATTTCACCTCACTCTGGTGGGACTCCGACCCACATCCGGAGGAGCTCCGAGGAGGGGCCCACATGTGATCCTCATACCCACAATTCGTCCCTTCCTTGGAGGGTTCTTTTCTGTTTGGCATTGCGGATTTGAAACGAAACTGAAGCTGAACCGTCAACAGCACAAGCTTTATTTAATGGCCAAAGAATGGAGAAGTAGGAACTAAGTTCACAAATCAGATTCTCAGCTCTTGGGCGATTAAGCAGCTGTTATAAGGGGTCAAGGTAAAGAAGGGGAGGAATATTCCTAAGTATTCCGGGAACTGGGCAGGCTTTTTGGGGGAACAAGGGTGCCACCTCTTTTTTTTCCTTATGTGGTTATATCCTGCTGTTGCCATGGCAGGTGTAAACTGTCATGGCGTATGTTCCATAATATGGTAATGTATTCTAATGAGCTTATAATGAGCTGTGGGGTCTATGTCAGGTCAAGTCAGGCCGTCATGTTGCCTTCAACTGGTTTTAACGCATTTCGACTATATGTCTCAGCCATCTCCTCCTTCTTCTCTTTGTGGTTTCCTACAAGCTAAAGAGCGTGTGTTAGGCTTGTTCTGAGCAGACTTGTGGTTAATGTCTTTTGGGGTCAGTGGGCTGGGTAACATCAGGACATAGAGATTCCAGTCCTAATTGTCTCTGTGCATCACTCTCTCTGCAGTATCATCTTGAGCACATCGCTTAGCTTCCCTTTTTGGGTTTCAGTTTCCTCAACAATAAGGAAATATTTGATGATCTCAAAACTTCTATTTTGCTCTATAGTTTCATGAAACACATTCTTATCACCAGCTTACAACTCCAAGAATTTGAATTGAGTCTACAACGTGAACTCTGAAGTCTCAAACTTTTTTAACAATATACTAGTGAGTCTATGAACTGTAGTTTCTAGTGTAATCACAAAAGACATGCTTCTAGTCACTCTGGCTACAAGATGGGAGCCTGAGTCTCAAGCAAATTGAAGTCTCTATAAATGTTCTTTACTAACTTAGCACATTTTGGCAGAATCAATTAGTTGTTGAAAGTTATTATGTAACCTTCATGAGGAAGTATTTTCCCCAATCCTGTGAAATTCTGGAAGTAAACACACAAGATTGTTAGTAATGAAAAATCAAGCAGAGAGCAGCTCTTTGTGAATGGGTTAAGATGAAGGCAAAAAGTAACAACAAATATTCTGTCAGAGTAAAACTGCAAAAAAGATTTTTTTAAGGTTTGGAAGTTACAGAGAAATGCATAATAATGAGCACATTATTAAACATAGGCAGATTCCGTGTCTAAACTTTCCTTAATAAATATAAACAAAAACAAGGAAAAGCTTATTTAGAATAATAAAAGAATAATAATGTTAGAGAATGGGAGCTAGCTTGTCACAGAATCTTTAACTCATCCATATTATGTAAAATTCACGTGTGAAATCGCTCTCCATATTTAAAAATCTAAATAGCAACTGAAAAAAATCAATGTCCTTTGTGGAAGAGTTAATGTTACCACAGCAAAATGAAATATCTTAAGTTGTGAATTTCCTTATGTGTGTGTTTAAACCTTGACATGAACACAATATATTTTACTTTTAGCTGGTAATGTAAAAAATGCCGGAAGGAAAATTTGGAGGGAAACTGAACAACAAGCCCTTCATTTACATTAATTTTGTGAAGCCATTTTGAGTCTTCCATTTTATAAAATGTTATTATGTAACAATGGCAATCATTGCCCACTCAATATAACACTATGCATTCCAAATAAATCACTTCTGAGTAGTTTTTCTCCACATCTCACCACATTTCTAACTATAGGAATGTAATTTTGTAGCCTTAAAAAATGCATTGATTTTTAGATGCACATAAGGAGACCAAGATAAGTAACTACACTAAAAAGATAAAATAAGGATAAGTGTATTTAATCTATTATTTTATTTACCTCTCGAGAAGAGAGAAAGAAAAGTTATATGTTACATTTTGTTTAAAGATGTATGATGTAGCATAGTTTCCTTTTTCTATATAATAAATATTTAAAAGATATGTAATATTAAACAGTTCACCTAATTGAAAACCTTATGTAAAAATATTGGGGCACTGGTTTGGAAGCATAAAGACATCTATTGTCACACAGTGTTTTGTGTATTCCTTCATAAGTTAGTACCAGAAGCATACAGGCCAATGAGAGTATAAGCCCAGCAGATTTCTGAATTTCTGGCCAAACAGTTCCCAGTTATGTACAAGAGACAATTGCTTCTCAAAGTGCCAAAGTGCTCTTAAAAATGTAATTAATATAATAATCGTGCTGGACATGGTATGAAAGACAATGCATGTACATTTATTTTGGCTAGACTCTGATTTAAATTTAGAATTTATCACTTAAGACCTGTATAAGCTTAGACGAATTAATCATTTTTAGTCTGTTTTTCTCTTCTCTAAAATGGGAATGATGGTACATACTTGCTAGGGTTGTTTTGAATACAAATGAGGTTGTGTGTATAACAGCATAGGCTTATGGTAAGCATTTAAATATTAAATGCACATTGTCCTTCTGGTGATCATCTTTTTTAATGGCCTACTGTTTAAAAGTATAGAAGTTAACATAGAGAATAAAATGTGAACATGCACATCAAAATGGGGAAAAATAAATGGAACTAAAGTGGACTATTAACATGGAAATTGAAGTGAATCAAGAAAACATTCAAGATTGCTCCAGCATGGCCAGAGCCAAATCAAATACAAAAGCAGAGTCCTGGACAAACAGTATGGTAGTTTGCCTATTTCTTGTCATCAAGTGGATTTCTAATTCTGTTGTATATGTTGTTTCAGAGGCAAAGGCCCATTGAAAAATACATCTGATGTCATTAATGCTGCCAAGAAAATTGCCGAAGCAGGTTCTCGAATGGACAAATTAGCTCGTGCTGTGGCTGATCAGGTAATATAAGAGGGAAGAGCAAGCAGATGCTGAGTGGGATCATTAATTAGCACTTGGGTTCTGTCTTGAGTTTTACGCACACTATAAAATGCCTCTGAAGAATGAATTGTAGAGAATCAATAACATTTTATGAACTGCCCTCTAACTCTGCTGAGACTGAGCTGATGGCAAAGGTAGGTTCACTTCAGGAGGGACTCCTATGGCCTATGACCAAGATTCCTTGAGAAAGAAGAGGACCCCCAAAGAGTCATGGATTATCCCAGACATCCTCTTTCAGAAAGTCAATTGTACTGCATAAGGGGAAAGAAAAAGAAAGAACTTTACTTCTGGTTATTTAATATTCATCTCACTGTAATGATGCTCTTCGTGATTCATAACAATTTATGCTCTAGCATAAATGGGATTAGTCCACATAATCAAGAACCTCCAGATTTCCACTTTATTTTCATCCAGACTCAAAGGCATCAGAGATAAATGAAATTGTCGGAGTATCTTTTGTGCTTTCAGACTGAACTAAGATACACGTTAAAATAATTCTCAATCTCACCTTGAATGCTTGAGTTTATTCCCACACTTTTCATTTTATTTGGCTTGAACTAGAACTCTAAAATCCTGTTCTAAATATGTCTTGTTGCAATAATGTTCCATTTCTTGTAAGGGTACTTTAGGCAATAGACTTTTTCAGATAACTGATGCTTATCCCTTTAAGCAACAGTGTTTTACAGTTTGAATCATTTTAAAAGGAAAATGTCTTAAATATAAAATAAGATTCTGAAATAGAAAATATTATATAAACTATTGTTTACATGGAGGAAATATTATGAGCATGAATTTGCTTACTAGACTACAATACAGTGATGCTCTCTAAAGACATTGGAAGATACAGGATTGCTTCCGCCTCCATAGGTGACCCTGGTCTTCTATGATATTTGAGTTGCTTATTATAGTTTTCCTCCCTCATTCCTTAATATTAGGCTGTTCCTCTAAATACTTGCTGTCTTTAACATCCCAGGTTCTAGAACCCTTCAAGTCAATGCCAAATTTACTTATCTTCTAAAGACTGAAAAGAAAAACACATGATTGAGCTATTATGATTACATTTAAAATGAGCCAGCAGATTGTCTCATTTTAATTTTTTTGCATATATGATGACTAATCCAAGGGGATGTTTTTTGCTTGCCTTTGAATTTTTGAGAAACACTTAATAGTAAAGATAATTCATTAAATATTACCATAATTTGAGAATCCCTCAAAATTTGTTGGAGTTAGGGAGAAAATCATTACTAAATTGCTAATTTCAGGGCAATATCAACTGCCAGCCTTGCAGCATAAATTGAGCTTCTTTCTACAGAGTTCCATATGTATCCTAGAAAGTTCATGTAAAAGAGAGGAGAGACAATGAATTTACTTGAATATATGCACGTACGCATGCAAACAAACAGTAATGTGCCAACAAGGAAAGAATGCCACATTCTTTTCTGCAAATTTTGAGGGGAGTTGGGATGAGTGGAGTGGCCAGAGATTGGTGGGTGGTTCTGAAAAGAATTTGTTAGGAAGCACTTCTTCCCTGGAGTGAAAGTGGATGGAGTTTGGATGGCTTTTCCATTATACTCTGAATTTCAATGGCTGAGACTATTTCTCAATATGTTTAGGCTCCTTGAGTTCAGTAATTTTTATTGTGATTATTGCTTTTGATTTTGCATTTTTGGGCCCTTATTTCCAACAATTATGCAACATGAAGCATAGCCCAAAACAGTTTTGATATCTGGAAAACACACCACATGTGCACACACGCAAATTCTAGATTGAGGATTCTAGATGTAGTTTGAGATTAAGTGACAAAGTATTTAAATGCTATTTAATGATGACTTTTTTTTTTTAATTTTATTTATTTTCCCCCCAAAGCCCCAGTAGATAGTTGTATGTCATAGCTGCATATCCTTCTAGTTGCTGTATGTGGGACACGGCCTCAGCATGGCCAGAGAAGCGGTGCGTCGGTGCGCGCCCAGGATCCGAACCCGGGCCACCAGCAGCGGAGCGCACGCACTTAACCGCTAAGCCACGGGGCCGGCCCTAATGATGACTTTTAAAATAAACAAATGAAGATTAAACATAACACTCTCTTTGTGGCATTCTTACTGTCATTAGCTACGAAGCAACTTGCAATTTTTGCTAATGTTTTGTCTGAATGGGACATTTCTTTCTCAAATTCTGCACCTACTTCCAGGGTATAAGAGTTATTTTTCTTGGTCTATCATGTCTTTATGTGTATTTTAAATGCTTTAGTTTAAATAATAGAATAGAATGAGCATTACCAAGAAGTGGGTTGCTTGCCTTTATTTTGCCTGAAAATATTTCTATGAAGATTTGAGATATGCACACAATATAAACTTTTTACGGACTGTTGCATTTTTAATTAATGTTCCATTGAGATAGAACTTCCAGTTTAATTTGCTGCAAGGTGTTCATATCGAAAGCCTTGTCAGCCCTCAGGGGAGATATCATTTTAAAGTTAATTCCTTTCAGTATATGGGTCTCTGGAGAAGGATAAATATTATAGTATTAAGTACTTGTAGAAAGCTAAAAACAGTCTCTGTGGAATTCTTTCTTGATAAATGCAGTTAGTGAAAAAACATACCACAATGGTAAGTGTTGTGTTTAAAAGAGTCCCCTTTGTCATTTATTAACTAAATGGTTATGTCAAAACCACTGGCTTCACAGTATTAATGAAAGAATTCTTTCTTGAGCTTGAAGGAGACTTAGCTGGAGTCTTTTTCTCATATTCTTTTTCTAAATAAAATACTTCAGCTTTGGCTGTAGAGTGAATAAGAAACATATTTCTTACAATGTTCCATCAAGGATCTGGTGATTATATGTCCTTTACAAGTGCCATATTGAGCCAGAACAATGGAATGGCCTGGAGAATCTCGAGCTGAACTTTTTTTGTGTGTGTGTGAGGAAGATCAGCCCTGAGCTAACATCCGATGCCAATCCTCCTCTTTTTTTGCTGAGGAAGATTGGCCCTGGGCTAACATCCGTGCCCATCTTCCTCTACTTTATATGGGACGCTGCCACAGCATGGCTTGACAAACTGTGCATCGGTGCGCGCCCGGGATCTGAACCTGCAAACCCCGGGCCACCAAAGAGGAGCACGCACACTTAACTGCTTGCACCACTGGGCCAGCCCCTCGAGCTGAACCTTTGATAGCAATAGAAATATATTTTAATTACAGGATAGCCATTGGCATTAAAGCCTCAGAAATGCTTTAGGGAGTCATGTAAATATCTGTGGCAATGTTCAGCTAAACTCAGTGTGTATTTGATAGACATCTACCCACATAAGTCACAAAGAGAATTCCAAATCTCTCACCATAGTTGACTCTGGTGCCTTCTTTGAGCAGTTCTGTTGTTACTCTTATGACTTTATTTCAATTGGCTTTAAATTCATTTTACTCATATCTATTCTTCTTTCAGTGGTCATGATCCTTCTCGGAGTCTCTTGTTTAAAATAAGTTTATCAGGTTGCTACAATTTTGATAAATATGAAAATCCAAGAAGTGCAATAGAATTCCTTTAATGAATGATGCATTTCTTAGAAAGCCAAAGGAAACAAATGATTTTGTCCCCCAACTAATTGAATTGAAACTCTATGCTGTGGCAGAGAGATTGCCAAACAGAGCGATTTCCTTCTAGCATGTATTGCTTTGGTTGTCTGTATTAAATAACTTTGCACATAGTGAATATTGAATGGGCCACTAGGTAAAAACCTATAGAATATTAAGTTTTCTTAACAGTTTAGAAGACAACTGGTAAAACTACTCATAAACATATACAGAAGTCCCAGTAACACTTTCTGGAAGATCTTCAATATTCTTTCTATAGAATTTTATCAAAGTAGAGCTAACCATTCTAAACTATTGGCTATGGTCTTCCTAAAATGCACTATAAAGAAGTTAAGTTAAATGGATGTAATTAAGGTGTCATTGCTGAAACCTTTTCTTCTCACAGCTTTTATATAGCAAGTGTTAAAAACTAAAGAGTACTTACTAATTGAGATCACTTTTTTTAATGTTTTATAGTGTCCTGATTCAGCATGTAAGCAGGATTTATTAGCCTACCTTCAACGAATTGCCTTGTATTGCCATCAGCTTAATATCTGCAGCAAGGTGAAGGCAGAAGTACAGAATCTGGGAGGAGAGCTCATTGTGTCAGGGGTAAGCTGGGATTTGGGATTCACAATTAAGGTTCCCACTGTTGTACTTCCAAGGCAAGCATTCTTGGCAACAGTACTGCTAAAAACACCAAACTACAGTGATTCATAGGGAGGTTTTTTAAAATAAATGTTATCACCATTATTCCAGACCTTACAATAACTCACAAAGAGCAATTTGATTTTCCAATTACCCTGTGTTTATACTAGCCTTGTAAAATCTCCATTCTTCACAAGAAAACTAATTTCATCGCCTGGAAACTCATTGCCAAGCTGTGACTATTATAATTATTTGCGGCTTTTGTATATTTACTCATTGTGAGTCTACTTCCCTTTGTTAGTCCTAGTAATTTTCATTCTCTGTTCAGGAGCCAGCTTCTCTACGTGTGGATTGTGTTCACATGTTAGAGATGATGAAAATAATAGGAATTCATTCATCAGGTTCCAATGCATACTAGGTTATCAGTAACCCTTGAAAGCCAGAAAATGTTTGAATTTCATACAGGTTGATGTGCTGTTGCCAAAAACTAACATAGTTGTCAAACACTAACAATTATATATTCTTTACTCAATCACTCCAGTGTTTCCATTCTCATGAAAATATGAGTATCTATCCATTTTCATCAAATGCAAAGAAATAGTTTCAATGAATAGAAGAATCGTGATTTCTTGGCAAGATTTCCAAATGTATGTGTTGAGGTTCTTCACCTTGGCTTCTTCTCCCTCAATCCCTTTCTTTCAACACAAGGTGCCATCTACTGTAAACTGTTGCAAATTCTGAAGTGTGGCTCTGCCACCTTTAGTTCTTTTCCCAGTCAACCATGATGCTTCTGTTTTAAGCGTGGCATCACCAGGAACATAACATTATCACCATGGTGAATGCCTCATGGAAATCAGACTGGTCATGAAGCTCAATTCTTCCCCAAGCCATTTTCAGAAATTCAGCAGTTTGACCATTTGATAAATTATGTGGAAAAATCATTCTTGAACCCAAAGATTTCAGTTCCTATATTGTTTGGCTTGCAGAAAACACAGCTGGGAAAAGAGCTGATGCCATCTGGAAAGTCTGTTCCATGCAGTCCCACCTAGAGCCCAATACACTGGCTATTTTGTGCCTCTTCCCAAAGCATAGTCACCTCTTTGCATTTCCAAAATGATCCTGCTTCAACATTCTTCAACAACCAAGAGCAATCTGTCTTGCAATGTGTCCTTTCTGCCAACTTGGTAATTACCAAGATTCTCTCTGCTGAGAAGTGATCAAAACATTGCATCTCCCTTGCTTCCTTTCTTATCTTCAGCCTCGATGGTATAGTTTCCCATACCATTCAGCTTCCATGTCCATCTGTAAATAGCACCTGTGGAACTGAGTGCTTTTTGTTTAGCTTGCCTTGTGTGCTTTCATGTGTTACTTTCCAAATCTTATTATTTACATGGATGCGCAAAGCATCTTTGTGGATCTCAGACTCCACAACCTCATCTAGGTGATGTTTTACTGGCAAAGTTGCTTTCCATCATCCTCTCAGTACCCATTGTTCATCATTGCCTCCAGAGCTTCATTTCCATTGTCGTTTCCTCATTTAGATGTAGTTCAAACCATCACTGGCTTTTATCACTTGCACTGTTGGCATTTGCAGAGGTGTTTGAGATTGAGAACACCATCAAGAAGCCTGTTTCCTTCTTTGAGTCTTATTGGCAAAGTTCCTAAATCCTTGCACGGGAGAAGGCTTCTTTTAGAGGAATGTTATACCACTTTATAATAATTCTGAGTCAAATGCATTATAAAGGTTTGCTATATATTGCTCAGTTGTGGGCCTGCTCTTGGCCTCCTCCTGATTTTCTCCAAGCTTGATTGCTATTTGGTGCCATACCTGCATCTAGAGTCTGCTGTCTTTGCCACTGCCTCCATTTTATTCTTCATCCTCCTTCACTGATGGCCAAAGAAGAAAAAAAATCAATATGTTTATTTTGCAAAATAGACACAAATGACTGCCTTCAAAGTTCTGAAAGAGTCAAGAATGTGAGATACCCCATACACAGAAACTTTCAATGATTTTGCCAAGAAAGTGCACCCATGCTTTGGGTCCCCTTTATTTTGCTGTCTGGCATGACAAAATTGCTATATTTTTAAGGAGAAGCTACTATAATATCATGTGTAATCAAAAAAAGAGAAATACTTGAATCTTCCTTCCTTTTTCCCTATGTATTTACGTACATGGGATTCAAAGCTGAATTCGTCAAATTTGTTAAAAGTCAGAGTTTCCACTAAAACAGATTTGGATAGATTATTTCCATTTTGCGAAGAGAAATGATATAGATTTCGAAACTGAGAGCCATGTTTTTATAGTCCTGTGCTGGCATGATGAACATATGGTGAACAAAAAGTACATGTGCGCAATTATATACCGTGTCAGCATGTATATGTTTTATGTGATTCTGTGTACAAAGTGGCAAAGACCTCTTCTGCTGTATCTGCCTTTGGCTTGAGAGGTAGGGCAGGATAACTCAACACGTCATGGGGGACAATGGGTACAAAAGCTCTTCATGAGTCCTGATGAGGAACTAGAAAAATAAAGCAATCCAAGAGGTATGCCTACATATGCTCATTCACACAACTGCTGTCTAAGAAGCACCGTTAAGTTTTCTGGCTGGCAATCAATTTTTTTAAGTTATTGGCTTAAACCTTTTTCAATAGCTGAGAGGTGCCATTTTTATTAACTCTCAAGGTAGAAGATGCATTTGTGAGCCATTTCAGCTCAACGTGGTTGCTAAGGGGTAATGAGAAAGAGAAAATTTTTTTAAAAAACGAATAGAGTGATAGAAATGTTAGCGTGAAAGTAGAGGAAGCTAAAGTTCAGTGGATTAAACAACTTGTTAGTTAATAAACTGGCTTTATTTCTTTGCTTAGTTTAGTGTTTATTTCATCTCTTAAGCCAGTTTACACACTTTTTGGAAAAAGGAATGTAGAAAGAAGAAGAAAAGAAAGAAAGGGAAGGAAGGAGGGGGTTAGGAGGGAAGAGGCATGAAAGAAGGAAGAAGAGAAAACAGAGGAAAGAGAAACTGAACCATAGTATATCAGAAATTCGTTTAGTGCAGGTAATATCCATTATATTCATCATGAGAGAAAAGTTGAGGCAAGTTTTTTTTTAAGTATGTAAATATATTTTGAATACAAATAAGCTCCAATGCCATGATATGCAAATTATCTCTATATTTGATTGTCATGTTTTTAATTAATTTTTAGTCACTAGGTTTCAGAGGATTTAATGGATTCTTTTAAATTTAACAATGGAGATGTACTCATGGATCGGAGAAATAAAAACCATCCCATAACCTTTGATTATCTTTAGCTACCCAAAGATTTATACTCTGTGCATTATTTTGAATAAGATTGGAAACACTAGTGTAGGATTTTAGAATGTAGAATGTTGAATATCAAGCATTTTGATAAAGCTGAAAAATTCCACCTAATTTTTTTGTTTTAAGTTCAAATAGAACAGGAGCCACATTGTAACAATGAAGTCAGAACACAAGAGCAATAACCCTGCTCAGGACAAGAATTTGATGTTCAGGTCATAGACGGAGGGATGCTGATGTAACTTATAGCTGACTCCACACGAAAATGCTACAAATTTTAATAGATTTTATTGCATATAAATGTCTTTGTTCACGCTAACAAAATACAGGAACAGAGTTTGGAGGTGAGGAATGTTAGTTCCCTACGTCCTCAGGCTGATTGAATGGAGCCCCAACCTGTTCCTGAGGGACTGAGTAACTTGCCCTACTGTGCACTTTTGTTCTTTGCCATTTAAATCTCTCCTTTCCAAATCTGAATCCCTCTCAATTGGGTTATGGAGAGAAGTTTGACAAGGTGAGCAAGTATAATTCGCAACACTGGTAGGATTTGAATTGGTAAAGAGAAAGTTGGAAATGAAGGGTCAATTGCAGTCATTCTTATTGCCTATGTTTCACATCATTAAAAAAATTGGACTCAATTAAAATCAACATGAATATTCATGGTGATAAATGAAAAACATTCATAAAAATACTAGAAACTGATAATATTCAAATCAATCCTACCTGACGCTGGCATATAATCAAAGATACATATATGCACGTGCACACACATATACACACAACAAATATACTTGATTTGACATTTACTTCCTTACCCCCTGAATAAGTAATAATCAAGAACTGAACAAACGGTTGACAACTGTGACATATCTGATTTAATACAATTTAGGGAAAAGAAAATGTGGGAATTTTTTGTACAATTATATATATTTGCAAAAAAAACAAATTGCTGAGATAAGAATTGTATTTTATTTGAAAAGTCCTGTATTCCCTCTATAAAAAGAAAAGTGGCAGTATTTTGTAATGGGAGGAAACAGTCATTGAAGAAAGCATTGTACCTAGTTGTGTAGACCTGTACTTAAAGCAACTTTGGGAAAGAGTCTTTTTTTTATATCTTCTGATTCTGTCTGTGGTCAATTCTTGATTATCTCCAGTGATCAAAGTGTAGTAGTAATGGAAAAAATCTAAATTGCTGGCTATTTCATTTTGGGTTTGGAATGTATTTCTGTGCTTCATTTGAACAAAAGGGTATGTGTTCAACGAATTCACAGCAGTTCCAAAGAATTTTATTCAGACCTTCTGGAGGTAGGCCATTAAGTATGTGGGTTTAAAGGACTTTTCCTGATCCTACGGAGAGTAGTAGAGTCCAGGTCTGGAGAAAGTAAGATTAAAACAAACTGCAGATGATAAATCTGGATGGGAGGGATAGTGGAAATACTCTGTAACAGTAAGAAAATTAAACAGGAATTTACCATTTGGAGAATGACAGTTCTTTGCACACACTTTGCTTGTAAGATGGGTTGTTGCATAATTCAATCTTTCTCCCAAAAGCCTACCCTCCAATCTGGAATGATACCAAACTATAACCATTTAAATTCTGATTGTCTTCCTTAGTTACATTTGTATCATTGTACATGGTCATTGATTTTT